CCCACCACCAAAGTCTCAAGTCCAGTTCCTTTATGCGTTCTCTTCTAAACGTCGTTCTGTGTAAGGCAGCCGTACGAAGGGTCCGCTTTCTTAAAAAATGCAACAAAACAAAAATACACAAAAATAAAAGTTTGCCACCTTCCTTTTAAGTTCTTCCTGGGGAAAAGCACTTCTTTGCTCGTTTTCTCACCCGGGCCCAAACCGTTTCAGTTCTTGAAAATAAAAACCAGAACCGATTTAAAAAAAAAGAATAGAAAATACTGTTCCAATGCTGAAGTCTCGTCCACCTCAAGACATCCAAGAAGAAGAGATGCGCCCTGTGAATTCCACAGCAAGCAAGTCTGTCTCTTTAGAAATCAAGCACCCCAAACTTTTTCTCTCAGACAATTTTTTAAATTATTACTAAACTGTCTTCTGCTTTTTCCATCGTGACACCACCCCCCCCCGAAAAAAAAGCACTACACCTGATTTTCCTCAGGTCCGTTGTTGTTGGGGTTTTTTTTATGCTACAACAAATTCAGATTTCATGTCCGCCTTGACTTCTGGCTTCCAGACAGAGTCTTCAAAGTCTAGGTCCAAACTGCCTTCGCTAGAGACGCTACTGTTGCTGTGGCTTCGGGTAGACTTGCGGTTCGGCAGCCAGTGGTACGGCGCACGGGCATCCCGCCGGGCCTTTCGGCGCAACCGTTTCTGCTGCATCAAGAGCTGCAAGCGTTCCACTTTGCAGCGGGTGGCCCGGTTCTCTGTCTGCCGCAAGCGGTCCCCTGAAGATGGGGGGGGAGGGGGAGAGAAGAGGTGCACACAGGGTTAGCATCTTTGCAAGCAAAGTTAGATTTTAAAAGCAGAACAATTGCTCTTTTACAAGAGTGGCAGATGTAAGAACATAAGAACCATCCTGTTGGATCAGGCCAGTGTTCCACTGAGTCCAACATCCTGTCTCACACAGTGGTCAACCAGCTCCTCTGGAGGACCAACAACAGGGCATAGAGGTCGAGGCCTTCATAAGAACATCAGATGAGCCATGCTGTATCAGATCTATGGTCCATCTAGTCCAGCATCCTGTCTCACACAGGGGCCAACCAGTTCCTCTGGAGGGCCAACATACAGGGCATAGAGGCCGAGGCCTTCATAAGAACATCAGAAGAGCCATGCTGTATCAGACCTATGGTCCATCTAGTCCAACATCCTGTCTCACACAGTGGCCAACCAGTTCCTCTGGAGGGCCATCTACAGGACACAGAGGCTGAGGCCTTCCCCTGATGTTGCACGGGGATGCAGAAGTTAACATCCTTTGAATGTGGAGGTTTGGTCACCATGGCTAGTGGCCACTGGAAGCTTTATCCTCCATGTGTCTGTCTAATCCACCTTTAAAGCTCGCTGTGCCTGTGGCCATCACTACATCCTTGCCAGGGAATCCCACATTTTAATCACTCATCTTTTTCTTAAGTGTCACAGGACTAAGCACAGGAGCCTGGGATGGAGGCTGTGTGGGTCACACCCCAATTCCCTTCTCCATGAGCTGCCAGAAACTGGTGGCTGGAAGAGAGGACTGCTGCCATTCAAGCTGCGATACAAATATTGCAATATTGAAGACCAGAATATTTCCTGCCTTGGGAATTCCATGGATTCAACCCCACAACATTGCCTGCCAAAAGGGGGGGGGGGCCTCTAGGATCTTCTGAGTCTGTGATTTCATTGAAGTCACTCCTAGGATCTTAATGAAATTAATGAGCAGTAGCCTTTGGACACATTATTGCTGGAGTTCTTTTGTTTTTTGGGATAACTTTGGGATGTGATTGGATTATGGCTTGACCTGAATCCTTTGCATGCACCCAGGGCAGAGTATTTTGTCAGGTCAAGTTGACAGGGGACTCGGGCAAATATAGCTGTCTGCACTAGGTATTTCCCCCCCTCCTGCAGCCACCCATCCTCCAGACACCTGAGCTACGAGGGGCAGGGCCTCTGGGCCCGAAACTCTGGCAGAGGCCTTCTACGTTTTGCGAATGGCTGCTCCGCAGGAGAGCCCAAGAGCATCATGGGAGTGTGGCCATTGCAATCAGTGAATCTAAGATGGCTGCCCAAAGGATGGCCACGAGCAACCACCTACATCAATTGCTAAAAGAACCCCTGACCATCCCCAGGGGCCGTTGTACATTGGATTAGCACTCCCCCCCCCACATAGACACACACACCTTCCAGTTCCCCCCACATGGGGACTAGCAATAGAAAACTGGGTTTCCCCAAGATGGCCGCCCAAAGCAGTGACTTCAGGCTAAGGTTGGGCCAAAGAGACACCCTACTCTCCCCCCCCCCACCATGAAAGACTGGTTGTGTTGTTTCACAGTGGGCTGGAAACGGAGCCCCCCCCTCCCTCCAACACCCTCAAGCTGGGGGGGGGGACACCCTGCAATGTAGAACTAGGCCTCCGTCTCCATGGCAACAGGGACAGGAAGCAGAAGCCGCCACGGCAGGTTGAGCAAACAATGGCTCTGGCATGCTTTTTTTTTTGAAAAAAATATATACCCCCCCCCCCAAGCACTTCCTCTCTCTGAGCAGAACAGAAGTCACTCTCGGCTTCTCGCCTCCCACTCTCTGCCGTCAAAGGCGGCAAGAGGGTGCGCTTTGCTCTTGCTTGCTTTAGCAGCCCCGTGGGTGGGTGAACAATCGAACGTTTATAGAGATGGGGCTGGAGTGCTGGAGAAAGAAGCGGAATTAAAAAACAACAACAAAAAAACGCTCAATCACAAACTTGGCAGAGGAGCCCTCCCTTCCCTGGAGTGTCACCAGGGTTCGGATGGGGGAGATGGTGGCAGAGAAAGGTGAATAGGGATCAGCAATGTTGCTCTGGGAAAGAAAAGAAGCCACAGAATAAAAGCAGGAAACACTAACATGGGGCGAGAAGGCTTGGCGTGAGGTATTGTATTTGTATTTGTAACACTAACATGGAAAACTCACCGGAGATTCCAGCTGCCTCTTGAAGAATGCCCCCTTTCCTAAAATCCAGGGCTTATCTAGATTGGAAACTGTTCTCTCTCTCTCTCTCTCTCTCTCTCTCTTTTTGCCAGAGACACATGCTGAAAATACAGTTGCCAACTCTGGGTTGGGAAATGCCAGATTTGAATAGGGGAGTCTGGGGAGGGTGGGATTTGGGGAGGGGAACAGACATTGGGAGGGGATACTTTCACAGAGTCCACCTTCCAAAGCCGCCATTTTCTCCAGGCAAACGTACCTCTGTGGCCTGGAGATCCATAGTCATCCCAGGAGATCTCCTGCCGCCACCTGAAGGTTGGCAGGAGACACTGCAAATGAGACTCGATTGGTGCTGGAGAAAGCAGACCGGTCAAGACCAATGTTCCCTCTAAGCCGTGGAGTCTTGTGAGCAAAAATCTTACTTTGTGAGCTACTGGCATTAAAGTTGTGAGAAAGTGATTTGGCTGCTGCATCAATTAGTTGGCTCTGGAGCCCTCCTTCCTGGGCTGAGACAAAAACATGTGAGCCGGAGGCTAAAAAACTGTGAGCTGGCTCACACTAACTCAGCTTAGAGGGAACACTGGTCAAGACCGCTGGGATGCTACGGAAATCCTGTATCACTCTAAATTTAGCATTATCGCAAGCCCTAGGTGGTCCAGCCAATGCCTTCTGCTACTCTAGGTTTACTTTCCAACCTGCACCCAAGGCCTGTAGCTACAGTGGGGCACGTCAGGGCTTTGCCCCCTGACTTACCGACAAGCCCCCCCAACTTCCCATCCATCCCAGACACTCCCTTGGGGGGGGGTGCAGGGGTGTGTGCAATGTTCCCTCTAAGCTGTGGAGTCTTGTGAGCAAAAATTCTACTTTGTGAGCTACGGGCATTAAAGTGGTGAGCGAGCGACTTGGCTACTGCATAAATGTGAGCTGGAGGCTAAAAAAACTGTGAGCTAGCTCACACTAACTCAGCTTAGAGGGAACACTGGGCGTGTGCGTGGTGCCCCCGGACTTATTTAAAGGCCCTCTGAAGTTAAAAACAAATCCTGGCTACAGGCCTGCCTGCACCCCAAATATGATTAAGGAGAAGGCGAACATCTGCAAAGCTAATCCCTTTCTTGAAATCCTTCATCGGTCCCCTCCGCTCCCAATAAGCTCCCTAACCAGGTTTCTGGAGCCACTAAGTCCCATTCCTGTCCCCCTCTCTTGCTTCAGGAAGGAGAAGCGGCTGTTTCGTAAAGCCCTCCCACCCCATCTTCCCACTGGGCTGTGTTCTGATCTTGCCTTCCACAGGCTTGTAAGACCTTTGTGCCCCCCCCACACACACACCTCCCCAGTGGGCAGAAAGGCATCTTAGGCATTTGCACTGTGGAGAGAACGCAGGAATCCTTTTTCCCCACTCAGAAGAGGAGGAAAGACTTGACTCCTGCGACAGGACAGCTTGCATTTGTGCAAGGCTGGGAGGGGTGAAGGGGGGAGAGAGAGAAGAATTGCAGGGGGGAGAGAGAAGAATTGCTGGGGGGGGGAGAAGAATTGCTGCCTACTTAGTTTTGTTGGTTTTTTTTGGCTAGGGTATGCGCTTACAAGGTTGCTTGTGGGAGATTTACACTGCAAAGGATCTGGAACCAGTTTCGGGGTATTTTGTGGAGGCAGGCCTGTGTACTATCTTCTTCTAAGGCTGCCAACTGGAATTTGTTTTTTGGGGGGTGGAGCTTGGGGGGGACTTCGGCAGGGCATAATGCCATAGAGTCCACTTTCCAAAGCAGCCATTTCCTCCAGGTGAATTGCTCTCTGCTGCCTGGGATCACGTAAAATTCCGGGAGATCCTCCAGGCCCCACCTGGAGGTTGGGAACCCCACCTTCCCTCCTAGTGATCAGACAGGACACATTTTAAGAATGAGGGAGAGAACTGGGGAGAGTGCATCTTTCTGAGCGTAAAGCCCATGCATGTCAAAGACACACAAATCTTGGGGTGAGGGTTTCAAAAACAGGGTGGTGTTTAAAAAAAAAGAACTATGCTCTCTCTCTCTCCTATAGATTTTCCATACTCAGATGTAATTGGCACACTTGACAGTGTATGAAGACACTTAATCTGTCATGAGTTACCGAAGGCTTTTCCTACTCAAAGTAGGCTTTAGTGCAGATCTGCCCTCCTTCCCCAAGCAAATACTCCCATGGCCAAACTGAAGGGGAAGAAGAGAGAAGAGATTGGATTTATACCCTGCCCTTCACTACCCAAAGGAGTCTCAGAGTGGCTTACATCCCTCCCCCTTCCCACAACAGACACCCGGTGAGGTAGATGGGGCTGAGAGAGAGCTCTCTTGAGAACTGCCCTTGAGAGAACAGCTCTGAAAGAACTTATGACTGACCCAAGGTCACACCAGCAGCTGCATGTGGAGGAGTGGGGAATCAAACCCGGTTCTCCCAGTTTTTAGAGTCCATGCTCCTAACTGCTACACCAAACTGTGAATTGGCCTGAACAGAGAGGGAGCTGAACTCTGCCCATGCTCAGAGACGCCACATTTCCTCATTCTGTTTATGCCCAGCACAGATAAACACAGCAGCCAGGGTGCTCAAAGGTTACTGGCCTGTTGTAAGGCTCTAAAGGTTTTAAAAAACACACGCAACAAAACTAACCAACAAGTCCAGGAAGGAGACTTTGCCCCTCCCTAGGCGCAATCCCCCAACGGCCAAACTGCAGGTGTGCGGGTGGAAAACCATCTCTGCACAACATCTCTGCCGCTTCTTCTCTTAACCTCCCCCTCGCCTTCCCTTCAGTGGGAGACAACTGAACAAACAC